AGCAGGCAGTCACCATTAGCATAACCAGCACCCTAGCAACGTAGTTTGGTCACTGACTCCGACCCTTGAAACGCAAAGTTTTAAGAGTGGCTCGCTGCTCACTGTTTATGGAAATCAAAATGCTTGAAAGTGTTATCTTTTCAACATGTCCACCAACATCAGCCACACAACAACCTTAGTCCCCACACCATAATTCAATTAGTTACCTACCATTTTTTGGTAACAACAGTAACAAATCCAGTTCTGATTTTAAACATTTTAAGAATATTCACCCTGAGAATGCAGAGGAAGTGTTTACGAATAAACTCTGATATGTTTTCTCTTCATATATAGCTTTCTTTTATCTTCATCTCCTCTTGGGTACCTGGGTTTGTATCTAGAATTTGACCTCATTCTTGCTTTGCCAGCTGCTCAGTTCATGCCACAGTCAGGTACTGGTGATAGAAAAGCCCAAAAAGGCTCGTGGAAAAGAGGCAAGCAGCAATCCACCAGGTGAGGAACGACAGCAGTCCCCGGAAAAGGAGAGGAGTGAAAATATTCTTTAGGCTTCCCAAAGCCATTGTTATTTGTAATACAGTTACTTTCATCTTTCCAGCAGCAGATGGAGACTCCGAATACGCTGAGCTGGGAAGTGGATTGTTTTCTACTGGAGTGTCAGAATTAGATTCTGGATAGATGCCCCAAGAATAATTACCTGTTTTTTAAAAAAAAAAAAAAAAAAAGTAACAGGTAAGCTATTTGTAGAATTAGACTAAATTCTGCCATTTCTAGTTGATAGAAAAAATCTTTTTTCCTCCGCATATAAAATCTGGAAAATTTTACTTAAACCTTAGTAAATATTAACTGTATCCTTTCATTTGGTTTCCTGCTAATACTAATAAGCCAGTAGGCTAGGATTCACCTTACCTTTTGACATCCTGACATTTACATGTGAACCAGTTGCCTTGGGACAGTGCTTGGTGTGATTCATCTCACCAGATGTAGATGTCTACTTTAGGATGGAATGAATCACAGCCTAATAACGTCTATTTCGTTCTGTTGACATTTGGCAAAACAAATGCCACCACTGCGTGGTAAGCTGTGAAAGACATCCTTCACAAGAGGGAGGAAAGCCCAGAGTCACAGCAGGTCTCCTAATAATGAAACAAAACCTGTATCTTGCAGCTTGTGTTCAAAAAGTTCACTGAAGATTGAAAAATTGAAAAAGGAATTAACAAATATTCATAAAGTTAAAACAACAGTCCTTTACACAGCTGATTTTTAAAGTACTTTTAAGCAGATGAAAATTGCAATGAAGATAAAACAGCTTAATTTGTATTAAACAGCTTATCAGAAATGAATCAAACTAGCATATTGTTGAAAGATGTCAAAAACAGCAACAGATGGTTATCAGCTTAAAAGCTGTTTATCAGATAGTTTTAAATGGCAGGAAACAACTAAGTTTTTCTCAGTTATGAGTACCCATACTTTCCAATTCTCTTTAACAACCTGAAAATAAAAGAACATATAGAACAAACCACATTTTGGTTCATCAAATTTTGCCTACCTAGTGTTTTCAATAGCAGAGTTGTGTGAAGGAGCATTACCAATGGTGCAACATACTGCAGTGCAATAACACAAAGATAATAGAAAACCCGAGCCACCTGGGAAAACAGAAAAGAGTAATTCATGAGTTCTGGGCATCCAAAGCAAACCTTTATGTACATGTTTAGGAAAACAAACAAACAAAAAACCCACAAGCAATTATTAAAAATATATATTCCTATTCAAAAAGAAAGCAGCTTTAAAAGTTTTCTAGCATGTTTTGGTATGCTAAAAAGGCCTAATAGAGAAGTTATCCCTAAAATGAATTCTAGTTGCAGGATACAAAAACCTGAAAGGAAATATTGAAAGAAAATAATTACAAATATAAGTAAGCAAAATAAACCTTGTTTAACAAAACTTCTGTTAACTTAAAAATAGCATTCAAGGCTTCATATTTCAATACACTTAAATTTTTGCTAAGCCATCTCAAAGCTAAATATATAGTTAATTTTTAAAGTCTCAAGTAAATTCCAAACTAAATCCCATTTCAAAAATGACATAGCAATCACAGTCCAAAGCCTCATCAAAAGTAAATAAAATTGTGGTTAATACTCCAATCCCTTTTCACAGTGAGGTATTTTTAATATTTCCAAATGTGAAGCACCAGTACTTTAAAAACAAAGACGAGAGGGTTTTTCATTAGTAGTTGATCAATAACAAAGTATTTAAATGGTCTTTATTTCAGATACTCAGTGGGTCTCAATGAACCATAATGTATTTTATCCCTCTCCCTGCTCCCAATCTGTACCATCTTCCTCAAGATTGTTACATTACATATTTTATATATGCTGACCTAAAAGACTAGATCAAATAAAGAAGAAAAAAAAGTCATAAAATCAATAGCAAGTAGGCAATGAAATAAAGTTAACTGGATTTTAGAAAAGAACAGAATACAGGGTGGCAAGAAAGATGAAGGCAGACATGACATTTTTGGAAACAGCTTTAAAACCTCAAAGGGCTTTGAGATGAGCAAGCATCAAAAACTAACATGAGGAAAAAAGAATGTAGTAAAACATTGACAGAAGAAAAAGCATGAAACAAAAATATTTTTATCATATGCGATTTTACAGATAATATGAAATCTCCCCAAACTAAGTTATGCATTCACAACAACTACAACAGCTCTGTCACAGCCAGTTGTCACTAGCTGTACTCCCTAACAAACAGCTTTGCTGAAGCCCAGTGCTAGTCACTTTGTAAACTAATATTTGAAATAGCAACTTCTGCACAGTCCATTTACAACCTTCAAGTATTTGTACAGACAAGCACAAGAGTAGGGACGATCTAAATCCAGAGAAGATGCTCCATCCTATGATATACTTCCATATTCCTTACACTCTGACTCAGCAGGATTAAAGATTATCAGATATCAGATATCACCATCATGAAAGATGATAAATTTATTTTGCAGACAACATGCAACAACATTATTATTTTATAACAAGCTTAAAAAAGCTACTTTTCAGTTTGTTGTTAAAAAAAGAAAAACAAACAAATAAACAACAAATAACACAAAGAGCTCTTCCCTTTTTACTACTTTCCCTGTATAGGCAGATGGTTTTGTATCTAGGTTAGCCCATTTGAGAGTGGTCTTACAGAACTGAAGGACTAACTCACATTATCCCAAAATACAGCCAACCTATCTTAAACTTTGCCCCAATTTAAAAATCACAGTTGAGATTAGGTAAACAATATTCTGCCATTCTATCAAAACCTACTTTTTTCCCCACGCTGTAGCTACAAATAACCACTTGCCCTACATGCTCATCAGATTATTTATGATTAACAGAAGCAATCATCAAGGTAAGCACAAGGCTTGCCAAAATATTTGTAAAGAGTATTTCATGAAGGATTCTCTTAGATGGATAAACAACTTTACAAAGCATCCATATAATATGGATGACACATCTCTGGTTTCCAGAGTTTCTCTCCAACAGTGCCATTCTTATAAGGGATGTAGTTTAGGAAACTTCATTCAGATTTCAGTTCTAGTGCCACAAAGACACAACAAATCAGCTGTTTGTTTTCCTATTAAAAAAAAATGCACAGAGCGAGCACTCCAACTACATACAAGCTTAATGCCATTTTACTTACCATTTTCTGTAAATCAACTGTACTTATTCTGCCAGCTTCCTTTTTCATCTGATTTACACACTTCTGTGCTAAATTCAGGTAGGCCTGTAAATGACTGTGCATCATGGCCAACCGTAAAGCACACAACAGGATTATAATCCACAACCGCATGGTGTCAAACGTATCTTCTGACATCCTGTGAGTAAAGGAAAGGTAATGTTTTCCAAAGGTCATTAGAGAGTCATTTGCTTGCATTATCTGTAAAGAAATCTTAAAGCATGGAGTTCATCTGCAAGTAATAATCACTGCCTCCACCTCCCCCTTTTTTGGTACCTCTTGGTAGCCCTGTTTTAGCATTAGATCCCAAATTAGTACCTATTCACATGAAAACAAGAACACTCTTAAACACTTGAATTCTGGGTGATGAAGACAGGATGCTAAAAACAAGCTCTTTCAAATAATTCAGCTTTTGAGATATATACTTGCAGATACCTTATACCTTACAAGCACATCCATAGCACAACTCTATTTTAAGAAAAAAATGAAAAATAAAATGAAAACACAAAACTTGTGTTTTCAACTTTTTACAAAAAAAACTCTGTGACTACTGAGCTATCTTAGAAACATCTGTTGCACATACAAAGCAAAAAGTGCCATTCAATCACATGAGTTTCAAGCCAGTAACTTACTATTTTGAATTAAATTATCTAGATATTAAGATGACAATGACAATCACCTATGCTACTTATACAAAATTAATTTTAGTTTCTATTCTTCCCCCAAATTCTTTGCCTTTTATGCTTTTAAATATTTTAGCTATCAAATTTCATATGCATTTCATCTACATAGATCTTAAGACAAATCTCATGGTACTAAGAGCCTTAGGTCAGTTCTCACACTAGCATATCTCAATTGCCTTCAGTGAAATGACTTCTCTCTTACACCTCTAAGACGTAAGGTATTAGACGTTGGCAATAAAGCAGTATTCTGCCCCTAGGAAGAACAGCGTAGAACTCCACCAAGGAGATGCCAGAAGACAGCAGCTCTCTGGGAACCACAGCTTTACATTTCTCAAGTTTAACACTAATTCCCTTTCTTCCTTAATTACAGAAGCCCTTTACATTTGAGCTGAAATGCCTACAGTACCTTTCAAGACAGATATAATCACACCAACAATTTTCAGTCATTTACATTGTTAGAACTTTTACAAGGTACTACTTGCACTCTTGGTTTTATCCCAAATGCTCCAGAAAGAATTTTTAAAGGGAACCTTACAAAGGAATGCTCTCTTTGCCCAAAGGTGGGTTCATAATGTAGTCCTTAGTGATGGGTTTTACCCACAGCAGAACCATAAGTAAAGGTGCCAAGAAGTTTATATGTAGCAGTGTTCTGAAAGAAGGAAAAAAAAAAGGGGTGGAGGGGGGGAAAGGGGAGTCATTAAAACCAGAAAATCACCCTTCTGTTAAAACTGCCGGTATAGATTCAAAAGGAGTAGTCCAATTTTAAAATACTGGGAAAAGGTAAATAAGAAAATTACTTTCTTATGACTTAAGTTCCAAAAAAAAAGGGAATATAACATACTATGAAGTTACCGTGGTTGTTTGTGGTAAAAAAAAAAAAAGACTCTCTGGAATAAATCCAGTTTTTAGACATTCCAACAAACTAACCAAAATGAACTATATTCACTACACTACACTACAGTCACTTGTTGAAAATTTGCATAAAATGGCATAACACAGAACTGCAGTGGTCATTAAAATTTTCATCTAGAGGATCAGTATGTCAGATGAATAATTGACACATATGCTGCTATTTTAGTAAATTTTTTCTTCACTAATGGGAAACCATTCTCACAGGTCATATTTTCCAGTTTAATGCAGATTTTTATATAGGAACCTTCACTAAATGAAACTTGGTGCCTGCATGCGATTAAAAATACTCTTATCAAAAAAAAGCCACTCCATTTCAAAAACACTACATTCCCTCTATAATAAACTACAAAGTTAATGTAGAAGCTCTTTAAGCAAAAGAGGAAATAGTTTTCTGTAGGTTTTTCTTGAAATTAACATTCTTCATTTGAACCCCCTATCCCTGTCTTTTTGCATTACTCAAATGACAACACAGTTGAAGACTTCAGTGCTGTAGATCTGGTGTTGTGCTACTAGCACTTCCTTACTAACAGCTTCAGCTTGTCTCTATTTCCATCTCGAGCCAGACTGCTTCTACTCTATAGAGAAAATAATGAAGTAACCAAAGTACTCTAAAAACACCTTACTGATTTCAAACTATCAAGCTTCCTAAACATTTGCATGTTTCAGAAGATGTCACCACACAGTTTAAATCACTGGTTTCATATGGAGAAAGAAGCACTGCTGGTTATGCAGTGTTGCTAGGGAACACTACAGCACCAAGGAACAGGCCAAAGCATTTCCATAACATGCAAAAGGATTTTATCTGAGCTTCTACTTATTTAAGACCTCCTACCGGGTTAATGGACTGGAATGTGCCAAAGGGTGGCAAGAATTGCTTTCTGTTTGTTTGAGTTGAGGGAGAAAGGCTGAAA